GCCAGCCCTGAATTATTCTGGATATTCAGCTGTGACAAAGACTGAGTATCTGTATGGAGAAGTTGCTGCTGGCACAGAGCTGGACCCAGGAAAGTGTGCTCCACCAGGCCCAGCTTGAGAGGTCAATGCATGGAAAGGAAGGGACTTCTTCCTATGAGGGTGGTGAGGCCCTGGCACAGGTTGCCCAGAGAAGCTGTGGCTGCCCCATCCCTGGCAGTGTTCAAGGCCAGGTTGGTGGGGGCTTGGAGCAACCTGCTCTAGTGGAAGGTGTCCCTGCCCATGGCAGGGGGTTGGAACTGTATGAGCTTTAAGGTCCCTTCCAACCCAAACCAGTCTGGGATTCTATGACTTCCAGGCTGAGCCTCTGCCAGCTGGAGCTGTGGGACCTCTTGTGCCAGGAGAGTCAGAGCAAGGATCCTGTCTTACACCTCACGTTCTCCTCCCCTTGCAGGAGATGACCAAGCACACACAGAGTTACCTGTTATTCAGGAAGACGAGTGCTGTGATACCAGATTGACTTTCATCATTACTGCTACGGAGAGTGCCCTCAATAGCATCCCAGACCTGGAAGGAGAAGGGGTTACTGCTATGATCCTGGCCAGGAAAGCATCGTATATCGAGGAGGTGGTGATCCACGTAACAGACCACCTGTGCTGTGCCACACATATTCCCTGGTCTCCCTAACTGTCTGATTTTAATGAAGGAGCCCGCATAAAACTCGCTCTTGGCACTAGCAGTTACAACATGGGGCTCCCACAACAGGAGAGACATACAATCACACCATCCTCTTCTTCCTTTTAGTGCTACTTCCAGTAAACTGTAATTAATAATTCAAAACCTGCACACCTTTCTTACCAGGGTCACCTAGTAAAATGACCAAATGCTACTAAACACATGCAGCATGGGCTCCGGCTGCATGCCCGCCATCCCCAGCTCCATAACACCCCTCCCTGCTCTTGCTGAATCCCACATCTGCCCCGCCTGAGCATGAAGCCATATTGTGATGTGGGCTGAAGATTCAGCAGCAAAATTCAGCCAGTGTCTTGAGGTAGCTGCTCAGAAAGAAGGTATCTGAGCTCAAAAGGACAAAGAAACACAATGGAGTGGCCTGTCTGTGTCTTTGGTGGGAAGGATGGAGAGGTTAAAAATCATTGAAAGATTTATGTCAAAATGTATTTGCTTTAAAAAAAAACAAAACAAAACTCAGCATTTATTTTGAAGGAAAAATTCTAACCTGATTTCCAAAAACAAAATGAAAATCAAGCTAATTCTGGAAGTTTCTCATCAGAGATTTGAATTTCTGATTAAAATTTTCTTCAAAACCTGTATTATTCCTACAGAATTCCTATTCATTTTACCTTATACCATGACTGACCAGCCACGTCACTTAAAGACATGGCAAGCTTTAGAGCTCTCAAGAGCACCCAGTGCTGCAGCAAGCCTCGCTCCTCACCTCCAGCTTCCCGTTACTCCGGCCCGCCACGATCAGATTCCCTTGCAGGTCCAGGCTCCAAACAGAGCTCTCCAAGTCTCCACCCCAGGAAGGAAATGTCGAGGATTTGTCAAATCCCGTAAAAGACTCGTCCCCCAGGCTCCTCCTGCGGGTGCTGCAGCCTCCCTCCTCAGTCCCGCAGCCCAGGGAGCGGGCTCTGCCGCTCCCCGTGCAGAATCCAGCCTGTCCATGTGGGGTGGAGAGGCCCGTGAAGCTCATGGAGTTGGAGGAGCCGTGCTCTTCATACGCTTTACCCACCAGGCTGCTGAAGTCGTACCCGGTCTCCTTCTGGCGACTGCCCACTGCGCGGAGCCGCGTCTCGGACTCGGCCACCTTCACCTGCTCAGAGAAGTTGGTGTCGATGAGAGACGTGAGGTCTGGCTGGTCGCAGAAGAGCGGTGGCTGCGGAGGGCTGAGCATCCTTTTGAGCTGGTGACTGTTCTCATAAGAGTCGTCCAGACCGTTCTTGCCATCGGGACTGTGATCCCAGCTTTCCTGGTAGTCAAAGATGCCGCTGCTGTCTCGTCGCAACCTAAAACACAGTATTAATCATTCAGTCTTCCTGCCTCTCCTGCTGTGGAGGGCTGGTTTCTCACATAGGGGTTTGCATCAGCTGCTGAGCAGCGTGACCCCACTCACCTTGGTTTAGGAATAACAGTGAGGCAGTCACCAGTCTGAGCATCCCACACACGGATCTGGCCCACCAGGCAGCAGCTGACAAGCAACATCCCATCACTAGCCAGACATTCGATGTCCTGGGAAGGAAGAGCAAGCGCAGGTGAGGCCATTGCACCATCGAGGCCTTTGGATCTTGACAACCACCTTCCATGTGGCTGAGGAATTATATAGATGATAAATTATGTCTGAATTCTGTGGCTGGCTGAGAAACTTAAGGATACTGGGAACATGAGTAGAGCTTTGCCCTCAGTCTTAGATGTGCTCTAGACCGCTGCAAATCAAACAGATTCTGTTTGTCTCCGCTTTCCCTGACAAAGTGCAGCTCAAAGAGACAGGAGGATCAGGAAAAAGGTGCAGCTTCTCTGCAAAACACTGTACAGCATTTCAAACTCCATCTGACCAGATGCCTGGATTTTTTGTTTCATCTCTGAATAGGAAGAGATATCTTTCCCCTCAAGAAAACAGAGTCAACTGAGCAGCAGCACACTTACCTGCAAACCCATAGATGCTTTTAGCAATGGAAACAACATTTAAAAGCTCAAACCTATACACTAACATCTGGGAAGCAGGAAGAAAGGATCCAGTAGGCATTAAATATCAAGAAACTAGAGCTAGCCTAGCAAAGAGGGCTGGATCAGCCCAGCTGACAAGAGCCAATTGAAAAGGTAGTAATATTTATTGCAAAAAACTTGGAGCAAGCCCCAAGAAGAAATGGAGAAGTGCTGCAGGAAATTTCATATCCTAAAATATATACGTAGCATCTGGCTGGGTGTCAGCCTCCACTGCTGTGGCACTAAGGCTGCAAAGCTGCTCTGTCCTTCGTGGGGTCTGTTGTTTAAATAAAAACCCAAGAAAAGAGAAGATGTGTGGCACAAGTCAGTAAAATGCCTCTCTTGTAAGGACAGCTACCACCTGACCTACCATGAGGTGACCCCTCAGCACCAAGGGGACAATCTCTGTCTCGGGCGGGGAGTAGCCATAATCATCACAGGGCAGGTCCCCCCTCTTCCTCCGGCTGTGCGAGATCCCGTTCTGCCCGTAGTTCTTGGGGCAGAACACCTTGTACAGGCAGAAGAGCAGGAGCACCAGGATAATGCCCGAGGCCAGACCCAGAGCAGCCACCCTGGTGGGAAAGACAAAGGGACACAGAGACAAAAACGTGAGACAAGACATCCAGTTACTAGTCCACAAAGTGACTTTGAAAAATACTGTGAAAGTATCACACATGATCCTGGTCCATAGTCATTTGTGGAAAATTGAAGAGGTTTTTTAATAGGAGAACAACCATTTCAACAAGATTTCAGATTTTTGAAGAAGAAAAGTGCACAGCAATAAGACTTTAAGAAAAAGATGGGGATTGGGATAATACACAGCCAGATTGCCAATTAAGACAGCAAGCTGTGAGTCTGTCCTCTCAGTAGGAAAGGAAGGTCCTTGTGCTGGCATGAAGTTCAACACACCAAGTGCAAGGTCCTATGCCTGGGTCAGGGCAATCTCAAGCACAAATATAGGCTGGGGGAGACTGGATTGAGAGCAGTCCTGAGGATAAGGATTTGGAGTGTTGGTCCACGAGAAGCTCACCATGACTCGGCAGTGTGTGCTCGAGCCCAGAAACCAACCATGTTCTGGGGTCCATCAGCAGCAGTGTGACCAGCAGAAGGAAGGGATTCTCCCCCTCTGCTCCACTCTGGTAAGACCCACCCCTGCAGTCCAGCTCTGGGGCCCCAACATAAGAGGGGCTTTTGACAAGGGCAGGTAGGGACAGGACAAGGGGGAATGGCTTTAAACTGACAGAAGGGAGATTTAGATGAGACCGGAGGCAGAAGTTCTTCCCTGTGAAGGGGGTGAGGCCCTGGCACAGGGTGCCCAGAGAAGCTGTGGCTGCCCCATCCCTGGCAGTGTTCAAGGCCAGGTTGGACGGGGCTTGGAGCAACCTGCTCTAGTGGAAGATGTCCCTGCCTGTGGCAGGGGGTTGGAACTGGATGAGTTTTAAGGCCCCTTCCAATCTAGGATTCTATGATTCTACGACTTACTTGTAAAGAGTGACATCCTGGTGCCCTTGCAGCTTGGATGAGGCTTGGTCAGGCTGAGCTTGAGCATCCAGCTTTCCGCTGCTTGAAGACAAGAAGGGGTGGTAGCGGTTTGCCTCCTGGGGATGCCGCACTTCTAAGGCCTCTTGTGGGTTCAGATACAGTGTGACAGGGATTGCTGGAAGGATGCTGATGTACCTGAAGGAATAGAAAGATAAGAATAGCTTAGGAACAACAAACGCAAAACTCCACAAACATTCTAATAGGTAACCTAGATCATCCCCTCGCCGGCAGCCAAGGTAGATCTCAGCATGCACTTTCAGAGCAGTGGTTTTACATATTCTGAACTAAAGACCTCCTTTGAAATCTTTTTCTCTGAAGATATTTCCTAGGTCTTAATCCTTAACTCCATGGGAGAAGTTAAGAGCCAGCAGTAGAATGAACTACTGATGAGATCAAATGTATGACACAGATTGAAGTAAGGATATAACCATCTGGTCCAGTTTCCTGTAGGTCAGAAGATCTCACCAAGAAGTTTCCTCCACTCAGATGTCTCTATTCCTCACATGCACCATCCCCATCACTCACAGATGATCACATATTGTTTTACAAAATTCTAACTGTCACCTCCAGGGTAAAGGAAGACAACAGGCAGGTTGAACCGCCACCACCTCTTCTTATCTTCAATATACCCAAGGGCACAGAGAGAAACACAACCCTTATTCTCAGACAGACAGCCCTGGAGAGTCTGATACCTCTGCACCACACCGGAGGGCCTTTACACTTCTGGAGTAAGTCACATGGAACACAATTTATCTAACTTGGAACGATGAAGGACAGATGAAAGAAAAATGCTCAGGGTCAAGTCCACAATTCAAAGTGCTGTGGCGCTCGATGCCAGCCCACTTGCCTTTTGGCCAGAGTGATATTGTAGTAGCTGAAAAGGGATGGCCAGTGTCTGAAGGAAAGCTTCCTCCAAATCTCCTCATCCTCTGCTCCCCAGGTAACCTCTGCTTCAGTTCCAAGCTCTGTCTGTCCATTCCCTTTGCCCTCTGGTCCTTGGGCCCAAGTGTGCTGGTTTGTCTCCAGCTGTGACTTTGGCTCACGCTGCTGCGTCTGGTTTTCCGACAGCTGTATTTGGTCCGATGGGAAGACTGAGAGATCAATCTTGGGGTCCCCAGCAGGTAGGACCCCTCCAGGAACAGGCATCGGAGGCAGACCTGCCTCACCCAAAGGACTTTGTTCGGTGACCTGTGACGTGAGGTAGGTGCGGAGACCAGCAGGATCCGTGTAAACCAGGATTCCAATCCAGATCACTGTCCCAGCCTACAGACGATGAGCAGAGACAAGCCCATTTAGTTCACGGCCTTCATGCTCCACCTTCAGTACCTCACCAGTTCTCTGAGCTGATCAACAGCTGATCCCAGCCCAGGGTACGCCCTGCAGTTAAGAGTCTTACTCTCAGCAGACACTCTTTAAGAGGATTAGCGATAGGACTAGCGATAGTACATGGGTTCAAACTTAAACAGAGGAAGTTCAGGTTAGGTATAAGGAAGAAGTTCTTTACTGTGAGGGTGGTGAGGCACTGGAATGGGTTGCCCAAAGAAGTGGTAAATGCTCCATCCCTGGCAGTGTTCAAGGCGAGGTTGGACAGAGCCTTGGGTGACATGGTCTAGTGTGAGGTGTTCTTGCCCATAGCAGGGGGGTTGGAACTAGGTTATCTTAAGGTCCTTTCCAACCCAAACCATTCTATGGTTCTATGATTGTATGATTGGGAGAGGTTGCACAGCACACACAGAACTGAGCGTTACTTTTCCATGAGCCATCCAACTCAACTTGGTGGCAGGAACCCCACTTGTCCCACATAAATGAACAGCAGGGAGGAGACTCCTTACTGGTGCTGGGAACAGCAATTCTGCCACCCTCAAACGGGGCTGGAAAGGCTTCATTCAGGTTCTGGATCATGAACTCTGCCAGACCTACCGCAGCAGCTACACTTCACAGACTGATGGGTTAGATGAACTTAAACAGCCATCAGCATTAGCTGACAGTAACAGGCTAGGCTGTGGCTTGTGAAGCTGAGGAGCACACAGATTCTTCCACTTCTATTACAGACATCCAGAAGAGGGATGGAGGGGGCAAGCAGGAGCAGTAACTGGTGTAACCACTGCAGTTACACCTGCACAAGGAAAAGCCTCAGTCTGTCACGTAGCAAAATACCTCCATATCTTTAGTCCACATTACCTGAAAGAACTAAAACCATGATTTCTGCTCTGTAGAAATCTTCCCTCTCTGCTCATAAGGTCCTTACAAACCTGCTTATATAAAAGCAGATTTTGTCTCAAAGCAAATATCAGAAAATTACCCACTACCACCCAAACATCATGCAAACAACAGAGCCCTGGAGCTAATGTGTGCACTGTGATGTGCACTTCTTGAATAGGATTTACCAGAGGGCAGCGTAAGTCTTGCAGTGGAACAAGGATGCATGAAAATGTTGGCCTTTTTTCCCCCCTGGAAGTCTATTTGGTCCAGGTTAGCGTCCAGGAAGGGAGACCAGCTAACAAACCCCACACTGCTTACCATGATGAGCCTCTGGGCCAGCCGGGTCCTGGCGAAGAAGTAGATGACCCGCAGCCTCTTCGGCAGGCGCAGGTTCCTGAAGGAAGATGTCTGCAGGGTGATGGTGTGGGGGGTGGCAGGTCGCATTGCCGGCTGCCGCTCGTAGCGCTGAGAGCGGCTGACAGGCTTCGCTGGGGGCAGGCAGGCTTCTGCTGGCAACCGCTTGTTCAGGTCAGCGAGCTGCCGAGAGAAGAGCAAACGTGGGAGAGCTGTAGTGAGATCCCTTGAGAGAAATGAGTGCACAGGCCTATGTCTGAGTATCCACTTTCTCCCTCAGGACAATCTGTTCCAGCTTCTCTCCAGCACATACTGTCTTCTTCAAGCAGCCATGGTCATCTGTGAACAGGCCTCCTTCCAGCCCACTTCATAGAATCATAGAATCCCAGAATGGTTTGGGTTGGAAGGAACCTTAAAGCTCATCCAGTTCCAACCCCCCGCCACAGGCAGGGACACCTTCCACTAGACCACGTTGCTCCCAGCCGCGTCCAACCTGGCCTTGAACGCTGCCAGGGATGGGGCAGCCACAGCTTCTCTGGGCACCCTGTGCCAGGGCCTCACCACTCTCACAGGGAAGAACTTCTTCCTCAGATCTCATCTAAATCTCCCCTCTGTCAGTTTAAAGCCATTCCCCCTTGTCCTGTCCCTCCACTCTAAGGTCTCTCTGGAGCCTTCTCTTCTCCAAGGCTGAACAAGCCCAGTCTCTCAGCCTGCCTCCAGAGCAGAGGTGCTCCAGCCGTTGGAGCATTTTTGTGGCTTCCTCTGGCCTCACTCCAACAGCTCTACATCCTTCTTATTTTGGGGCCTCAGAGCTGGATGCAGGATTGCAGGGGGGTGTCTCACTAGAGCGGAGCAGAAGGAGAGAATTCCGTCCCTCAACCTGCTGGTCATGCTGCTGGTGATGCAGCCCAGGACACAGCTGGCTTTTTTTACCTCAAATCTGCATGTTTATTTACCTGAGGGTATCTTGTTCCCTCAGGTATCCTGTCCCCAGTCCCTGTATATATATAACCAACAAGTACTGCCCCAGAACTTTTACAGATTGATCTTTTCTGTTTAGTGCGAAAAATCACAGGTTGTGCTTCCTCTAATTCTTCTCCAGCAGAATAGAAGGAAAAACCAAGGCAAACCCCCATGTTCTTGGCCCTTCCTTACCTCCATACGGCGAATGTCAATGGACAGCACAGTAGTGAAGAAAAACATCTGCAGAAAGAAGTCAGACACAAGGCCAACCACAGCGAAGAGGCAGAATTCCTGCAAACAGGACACACAAATCAGCTATGGCAGCTACAGAGACAACAGTAAGTATTCCAACTTCAGAAAAAGGGAAACTTGGCAAACACTTGCCCAGGGTGCAGGCCTTAGCCTATTTTACTTTCAAACTCTGTAATCCATAACTTGTAATAGTTGAGAGTTTCATGCTAGAAAAGTCTGTGTGAGAACATAAGAGTATATTTACTCATATTTACATTCTTTGTAGCCATAAAACATCAAAGCACCATAAGAAAAAATGGCAGAGGATGTTTTCCCAGTTCACAAAGCCATGGCAGGGCTGCAGCCAGAGCTCTCAGCCTCCAACAGTGACAGTTTCCTGGCTTCTACCAATAAACCTCAGCCCCGATTTAAAATTCCTCTGGGAACACAGGTTGCTCAGGCACCAGATCAATCTCTCTCCAACCAAAGACAGACCACGGAAGTCACTGTACACCTGTGTACTTGTTTGTAGACATATTCCAGGGCCCCAGCTAAAAAATTTCTGCGTAAATCACACTTTTGGCTAATGTCTGTTTGATGGGAAAATTTCATCCCTATGCTCCTGGAAAAAAGTCCCATACCCACCCTCAGAAGTCTGTAAACAACAAATAGATGGGAAACGTTTGCAAAAGCCAGTGCTTCATGAACATCCTGTAATGCTCCGCTTTCCCCAGCAGGTGTCACTGCAGAAACAATCATAGACTCAGAATGGTTTGGGTTAGAAGGGACCTTAAAGCTCATCCAGTTCCAACCCCCCTGCCATGGGCAGGGACATCTTCCACTAGAGCAGGTTCCTCCAAGCCCTGTTCAACCTGGCCTTGAACACTGCCAGGGATGGGGCAGCCACAGCTTCTCTGGGCAACCTGTGCCAGGGCCTCACCACCCTCACAGGGAAGAACTTCATCCCCAGATCTCATCTAAATCGCCCCTCTGTCAATTTAAAGCCGTTCTCCCTTGTCCTGTCCCTACCTGCCCTTGTCAAAAGCCCATCTCCAGATTTCTTGTCGGCCCCTTTAGGCACTGGAAGCTGCTCTCAGGTCTCCCTGCAGCCTTCTCCAGGCTGAACAAGCCCAGCTCTCTCAGCCTGTCCCCGTAACAGAGGTGCTCCAGCCCTCGGAGCATCTTTGTGGCCTCCTCTGGACTCACTCCAACAGTTCTACATCCTTCTTATGTTGGGGGTCATGGTGAGCTTCCTGTCACACAACCCCCCCAAGTCCTTCTCCTCGGGGCTGCTCTCAATCCAGTGTCCCCCAGCCAGTATTTGTGCTTGGAATTGCCCTGATCCAGGTGCATGACCTTGCACTTGGCTGTGTTGAACTTCATGAGGTTTGCACTGTCTCATCTCTCAAAATAAGGATTGAAAGATTCTTCCCAGCAGCAGAAATGCAGTCAGCTCCCAGGTCACTCCGTAAAACAAACACACACTCTTACCCTAATCCCCATTAGTGCCAAGGGCCATCCCCTCTCCCCACTACACTCAAAACTTCACAGCAACATCGAATTAAAATATTTTGAGAGGCATCTTGTTTCCCTTGGAGGTACACATTCCCGTCAGGACCCAAAAAGGATCTAGTAAAAATGGGGAGATCAAGACCTGAGCATAAGAAGTAGTAAAAACCTTGGGCTAAACAACACATTAAAAAATCTGGCCCACATTTGCAGAACAGAGCTGGCAGACACCCACTGCTGTTCGCTGCCTGCACTGGTGCTCCAGCGGTGGCATTCACACTGCCTGCAGGCCAGGCCACATCCAGCTAGGGGGAAGGAGAGAGGCTGCAGAGATAAATTTCTTTTGTTCTCCTCTTTCATATGTCCATCCCAGAATCTTGTGTAAGGCTGGAGGCCAACATCAGCCCAGTGAAATGAAAAGGGTGACATGACAGGCTACCTAAAACCTTCAAACAAACCTTGAAGCTTCCCATCCTGTCCAAACTGTTCTCAAAACGTAAGCAATCAACAGATACATCTGACAGGTTTTGGAAGCAAAGGGCTGAAAACTCAACCCAGGTTTCTCTCTGGGAGAAAACCAGAAAGAAAGCAACATCCGTCTGGATTTCACCCAGACCTTGGCAAACACAGGCTCCCCCAGTGGCAGGCTCTGCACAGTGAGATACTAATTCTGTTAATGCTTCCACTTACTCCATGTAGGCTTAGGCACCTGAAGCTGCTAGCCCTGGAAATCTACAATCTTCTTACATTTGAACACTGCACACCCCATGGCAAAACCCAAAGTGATTTCAGTGGGTGCAGAATTGGGCTGTTGGTGTGTGAACTTCAAAAGAAGGCAGCAGGTAACAAATGGAAAGCACAGGACAAGAGCCATCAACAGGGACACCGTGCCAGAAGAGGAGGAGTCTCTGCACACATGCAATGCAAGGCAAGAGCATTTCATTGGAACTAGATGGTCTCTTCCAACCCAAACCATTCTGTGATTCTGTGAATTCAGTGGATGCACAATTCTCACCTGAAGCCAAACTCTATTTTAGGACAAGGCCAACCATGGCAAACAAATAAAATTCCCTTCTGCTAAATGAGTTGCACTGCAGTAACTGAGAAAAATAAGACCCATTACAGCCCTTGGGGCACGTGAGAGCCTTCAGCAGAGAAATGTCTCCCTCCCCTGTCATTCCCTATACCAGAGAGCACCTGCACGACCCCAGCATTGCACAGCCTGGAGCAAAGGTCCCTGCCAGATTTACGCAGCCTGGCTCTCTTCCTGCCTGATTCCTTGGACTCTGCAATCTGAGTACAGCACGTTATCTGTACAGTGTCCTTCACTCTCAAGGACCAAGATAAGGAGCTTGCACCAGCCTTCAGCAGAGCAGCCATCAGTCTTTTAACAGAGAGCATCCCTGCCAGATTCTTCCTCTGGAGAAAGCAAGCATCCAAGGAAAGACAGGATCATGGAGAGAGCAGAGTGGGTGAGCAAAGGGTAGATTTAGATTAGATATTAGGAATAAGTTTTTCCATGTGGGGGTGACGAAGCACTGGCACAAGTTGCCCAGAGAAGCTGTGGCTGCCCCATCCCTGGCAGTGTTCAAGGCCAGGTTGGATGGGGCTTGGAGCAACCTGGTCTAGTGGAAGGTGTTCCTGCCTGTGGAAGGGAGCTGGAACTGGATGAGCTTTAAGGTCCCTTCAATCCAAACTGTGATTCTGTAATTCTATGTCATCACACGTGTCGAACCACTCTAACAGACAGGAGTACTTTAACAGAGATAACACGGGGGTGGGGGCACAATATCACTGCTTCCCATAGCTCTACTGACCCCATTACCTGACTCTGCCCTGCCCTTTGATCACAACTCCTCTATCTCCTGTCACCAGTGCACCCTGCAAGCTCCTCCATGGCAGAGAGCAATATGAGATGTGACCTGTTCCAGCAGTGTCCCCATGGCAGGGCTACAGGCACTACACTACACTCCACAGACACTGTCAGGTTTCACTTTCCGAGGTCAAGCAGCACAGCCATGAAACAGGGGCCAAAAGATGCTGATATAGCACATGAATGAGCCCAATTTAGACCCAAAGGATGGATCATGTCGGTATCTGAGCTGACAGTCTCTGCAATCAGCTTCAGATACAAACAAAATCAGGCCACAATAGATGCCCAGCTGTAACCTGGGGAATTCTACTATAGCTCCTCTTTTGCTGTACTCTTGGGTTACCGAGAGAGCAGCTCAGGAACTGCTGAGTTCAACCTGGAATGCTCCAGTCCATCCTGAACATTTAATCTTCTTAGATTATCCTAGGCTTTAATCTGCAGGCTCTACTGGTGAGTCCCCAGTGTTAAAGCAAGGATACATACAATCCACCCCTCTCATGAAGGCCACCTACATGGTGGCCAGTGACAACCTAGCGAGGGCCCAGAGTAGCTTCCAGCTATGCAGACACTGGGTGCTCCTGCCTTTGCTTGCTGACTGCACCTGCTAGGAATTTCCAGAGAGAACAGGATGACAGCTCCCTGAAGTCTGGATGCAGAGAAGCTACAGAATTGGTGATGAGGATTTGTCTAGGCAGCACTACTGCTCAGGTGGCACACCAGAAGCAAGCCATGCTCGGTCAAGGATCAGAAATCAAATAGCATCAGCTTCCTGATATGACTCTGCAAGCACAGTCCTGAAAAGGGGGCTGCGCAGCATAGACAGCAACATGCTGTGAGGCAGAAGACCTTGATGCTATTTTCAGTGCAACACAGACCCAACAACATGACCCCTGATAGATCATTCTACCTTGAGGTTTCAGTTCACCCATCCATGAGACAGAGATGGTCCTATCTGTGGCTGCAAAAACCTACAGATTTGTGAGTCTGGTGAATGAGCCCCAAGCAGGCTGCCCACCCTAATTCTCAAAGCAGATATTCTGCAGTAGAGTTTTGGTTTTTCCTTCCATCCACTTACAAGGTAGAGCTCATGTGTCTGGGTCACCAGCAACTGGAGCACATCAGACTGTTGGCAGGTGATCACTAGTGACTGTTGAGCCAAGCAGCTGTTGAGCAGAGTGAGTGGCTTGGGAGCCACAGATGTGTGTGGCCCTGAGCTAGAGAGCTGCAGGACTTGGCTAACGGAGGGACCAGGGACTCCAGACCAACTGCCACAGGGACTGTGGGCAACTGAGCGACTCAGTTGCATGTGTGTGTAAGGCAACTAGAGAAAGAAGGATCCAGGGCTACTGGATGAACTGAATGTGTAAGCTCAGCTACTGGAAGGACGCAAGGGCAGCTGCTGGACAAAAGGCTGGCTCCTGGAGTGATCCACATTGTATAGATGTATGGATTCCCAACTAATGGTCTCTTAATCCAGTCAGGCAGAGGGAAGCAGACTAGTGACTGCACTCTGCAGTGACTAGTGACGAGAACACTGCACACCTGCAGCACCTTCAAGCCTCAGTCATAGAATCACAGAATTATTTGGATTGGAAGGGACATTCCAAGCTCATGCAGTTCCAACCCCCCTACCATGGGCAGGGACACCTTCCACTAGACCAGGTTGCTCCAAGCCCCGTCCAGCCTGGCCTTGAACACTGCCAGGGATGGGGCAGCCACAGCTTCTCTGGGCAACTTGTGCCAGGGCCTCACCACCCTCACAGGGAAGAACTTCATCCTAAAGGTCTCATCTAAATCTCCCCTCTGTCAGTTTAAAGCCATTCCCCCTTGTCCTGTCCCTGCCTGCCCTTGTCAAAAGCCCCTCTCCAGATTTCTTGTTGCCCCTTTAGGCACTGGAAGCTGCTCTAAGGTGTCCCCAGAGCCTTCTCTTCTCCAGGCTGAACAAGCCCAGCTCTCTCAGCCTGTCTCCATAACAGAGGTTCTCCAGATATCAGAGCATCTTTGTGGCCTCCTCTGGACTTGCTCCAACAGCTCCATGCAAAACTGCAAACTCAGACCAATCAGCCACACTGACCTGGATGGCAGGGACAAGGGTGAAATATCCAATCAAGATGATCCCAAGCTCTGTTGCCATGTTCTTCATAATTGACCAGCTCTCATTGCTCAAACCTGGAGAAAGAACACCCAAAGACAGGTCAAAGGAGACTGTTCACTAGTGGACAGACACCAGCATAGCAAAAAGAAACTGGATTTCCCTTCTTTAAAATTAGGTATCTAAATATAACAGTCAAAAAAGGCACTTTCAGGTAAAATTCACCTGACCTATTTTGAATATTGAAGTCAAAGAATTGGACTGTGGATGCCCAATGTCTTTATTAGTGGGATTATTTTGTCCCTGCTATAAAAAAAAGATGGGGACAGGCTGGAGAGGATCCAGAGAAGGGCCACAGAGATGATCCAAGGACTGTGAAGCCATGTGAGGAAAGGCTGAGAGAGCTGGGCTTGTTCAGCTTACAGAAAAGGCGGCTCAGGAGAGACCTTAGCACCATGTTCTAGTATTTAAAGCCGGGATACAAAGAAGATGGAGACTCCCTTTTTACAAGGATTCCCATGGAAAAGACAACAGGTGATGGGCACAAGTTACTCCTGGGGAGATTCTGACTGGACATAAGAGGAAAATGTTTCACTGTGAGAACAATAAGCCACTGGAATAATATCCCCAGGGAAGTGGTGACTCCCCTGCATTGGACACTGTTAAGATTGGGCTGAGCAGGGTGCTGGGCCATGTAGTCTAGGTCATACTTCGCCTAGAAAGGTTGGACCAGATGATCCTTGAGGTTTCTTCCAACCTGGGATTCTATGATTCTGGGATTAGCATTAACTAAAGGGAGCTCAGGATGACTCTCTCAGCTCACAAAACTCTCCCGATTTAAGCAGCTGAAGGGTTCTGTGCAGGGCAGTACAAGGATTCAGAAGTGTAAAGGACTGAGTTTTTGAGTCCTATTTTCAATCTACAATACAAACCACTTGTGGTTTTAAAACCGGGTAGATTTTTCTAGGCATCCCTTTAGGATATCTCTTCCCTGATGTTTAGAAACACCTTTTAAGTTTGCAAAGTCCATTTATCCATGGTTTGAGCACACACAAATCCTTATGCAGGTACAGGGTGTACATATATTAGGGAAGATAAGTTTGTCACAGACTCAGCAGAATTTCCTGTGACCTGTGGACTGCCCTTAACGATATTCATGTCACAAGAGGATAAGGTGCCAAATATCTATACCAGGAGATACAGCTCTCCCTTACTAACACTTTTTAAACTTGTTCAGCCAGTGCTTCAGTCGACAACCTTTAAAAGCAGTGCCCACAATTACAGGCTTCAATTAGTTCTTGGAATTAACAAAACAGTACAAAAAGATGAACAAATACAGTTCACATTCAACACACAGAGTCCTTGTTTCCTTCATAAACCACAATCAAGATCATTCCCCATCTCCCAGTCCTTGGGTTACCAGAATTTTCACTCTCTTCACAGTTTTCCAGAGCAGGCTGCATACCTTGGGCAATGCGTAGCTTCACTTCCAGGTCAACAGGTGTAGAGACAACTGACTTGGTGAGAACTAACACATTCTCTAGGCCAATCACTACAACCAGGTATGGAAATATCTCTCTAGAGGGAAAAGAACCAGAACTGAGAATGAGTTCCTGGGTAAAAAAGACAGGAAGAATTCAAGTTGAGCAGCAAACACACATCCCAGAGGCAAGGTGAGGAAACACTATCCAGTGCTCTTAGCCAAATCCCTTCAGATACAATATCACTCTACAATGAAATAAGAGTTCTGTATTTCACCTGCTTTGGACAGATATTAACGTTTTTGCAAAGCTGCATGGTTTGCTGGAAAATGGCCACTACAGACCACCACTAAATTAGTCTTTAATGCTTCCCACGGTTGGGACAGTGCCCCTCAAAAAGTCTCTTGAGCACCTCAAAAAAGGTGCAAATCAAAAAGAAGGGACTTGGAACACCACTACAACAGACTCAGGAACAATTAGCCAGCGGGAGAGCATGACAACAAGAGGGCAGGGAGCATGGCCCACCACTGACAGTGAAAATCCTGATAAATCAACAGCTAAGCACTACATTAAATGCAGCTTCAAAAGTGAAGAGCTTGGGCAGTGCCTGCTGCAGGTACCCAGTGGGCAAAAGCTTCCACCCCTTACAGCTGCTATAAGTAACTGCCTCAAACATGGAAGGAGACACATGAAGACACACTTCTCTGTTGGGAGGAGAATGTGAATGGAGCTCTGTTCTTAAGTATACCAGGTAGCTCAGAAGCCACAACAGTGAGAACAACATGAAACCTACACATGCTTTGTAAATAAATAAATCCTGCCAGGGATAGTTTCTACCCAAGAGTCAAGAAAACACACTGAAATTGTGTTTGGGATTTGCCCTTCACAAATATATGCACATACAAAAGTAAGATTACCCAAAGTCACCACCATGAATTTATTCAACTCTTCGTCTCACCCCTAAACTTTTTTCTCTCTTTTGAACTACTTGCAGTCCAGATCAGTGAGAAGAAGCTGTTCTGTGCCAGAACATGGTAGACAGGAAATCTCTCCATTTCCCTCCAGCTAAACTTAAAAGCAAAACTAAAGCTTCCATTCTGGAGGGTACCAGATTTGTGCTGTGCTGGTATGTATGGATCCAAAAGGAGACTGTGTGTGCGTGCAAACACTCACACCCCTTGGCACATCACTAACAGCCAAGACAGGCAAACAACAGGGTTCCAGAAGAACACCTCCTGCTTTGTGGCATTACCTGCCATAACCTCAAGGACCACCTTGCCAAACGCCGTTTTTGATTGCCTATGGCCATCTGACACAAGCTTCAACAACATCTGCACACATCCTCCTGCCAGCAGCCTGTGCCCTACAAGCTCAGCTAGGGAAAAACATCTGTTTGGAACCACTTCTGCTAACTCAGCTACTTCATGCCAATTGATTCCTTGAACAAACAGCAAGCTGAAACAGCAAGACCTACACTGAAAGCAAGATTATAGGAAAAAATTAAACAAACAACAAAATCCAACCCAAAAAACAAAACCCAAAGAAAAGAAAGCTAGAGAGGGGCTTTTAACAAGGGCAGGCAGGGACACGACAAGGGGGAATGGCTTTAAACTGGCAGAGGGGAGATTTAGATGAGATCTGAGGAAGAAGTTCTTCCCTGTGAGGGTGGTGAGGCCCTGGCACAGAGAAGCTGGGGCTGCCCCATCCCTGACAGTGTTCAAGGCCAGGTTGGACGGGGCTTGGAGCAACCTGCTCTAGTGGAAGGTGTCCCTGCCCGTGGCAGAGGGTTGGAACTGTATGAGCTTTAAGGTCATTTCCAATCCAAACCACTCCATGATTCTCCAGGTACCCTAATGAAATTTTAGCTCTAACAATCGTGCAACACGCTGATTCCTTCGCCTCCTGTCCAAAGCTGCACAGGCCATGAATTTCCATAGTGAGTGAAAAAAATACAAATCTATATAAGCCTCTCATGGGCAACTTCCTGTTAATGTTCAAGAATCCAAAATTCATCAGCAAGTACAACTCAGTCCTTATCTATAGCATCTTCAGTTCATAATCTGTGTCACTTCTCCAAGCAGTACTGTAGGACGGGGGACAGATTTAAGAAAAGCTCTTTGTAATCCTTAGGGATGGAAATCTCTAAGTAAAAGAGAACACAACAAACATGAGGGAGAGCTCTGCTGCCTGGCACAGCACAGCACGTCCTGCAGAGTGTGTTATCTGCAAGGATACACTCTTGAAGAGGCCTTGCGGAGTCCTGTCCTTACGTGAGACAGGCAGAGGGGTCAGCAGCATTCCCAGATAAGCTGCAGTAGCCTTCAAAAGGCAGAATAAATACAGAAAAGAAAACTTGGAATTCTTTCATTAACTATGTCCTACTTAAACTGTAGCTTCTACTGCAGAGGGTAATTAACTAATAGTTCTGGCTTATGAGTTTCAATAGTCCTTAAAGAATCAGCAGCTTTCATGTGAAATTACCAGCAGTTTAAAAGCAATGAGACATGAGCTTTTCTTGAAGAATAATGCAACTCTGCAGGCCAAACACAAGCTGTTCACACCCTGCAACTCCAAAACCTCATTTGTCCCCACTCGGAAGCAGATGGCAAGAGATCCTTGTTGTATTTTTGGACTTGCAGTGCCAAGCATTGAGAAAGAGCTTACAAGAGGAAGAGGAAGGGCAGGGGGAGATGCCATACTGTGTCCATCTACAGAAACTTAATGATTTGATGCCAGAAGGTGCTACATCATAGCATGATCCAGCATCCCAGAGAGTCAACAGAAATGCTACTGCTGACTCGTAAAAAACAGATTTTCTGTGACTCCATATGCATTTGTGAACAGAGACAACCTTGGTTTATCCAAAACGTGGAGAATTTAAGAACTGATCATAGCAGCCTCTCATAAAAAATGCAGATTTTCACATTTGAACAGGTTTATGCCTTTTTTTATAAGCAGCAAGGAGAAGTAGTTCATCATTTCAGACTGTGATTCCTCTAATCTAGCTGAGATGCCAACTTGTGGGTTGGTGGCTTGTGTTCCAGACTCACTAGAGAGTCACAGTCCACCAGTGTGCAGGAACCCCACTTTCACTGAACTGGCATTCTCCTCAGCCTTACTGCTTATTCTTCCTTAAACTCTGCACAGATCATGTTACCTATTTCCACTTTTCTGTAAAATAAGACTAATGCCTACCTCAACTACAATAAATTCATTATAAAAGTTGATTGATAATGATTAAAGTCCAGTTTACATATCATGTCTGTAGCAACAATGATCTCAAAGAAACAAGCTTCATTTTAACACCTTAGAAAAACCAGTGAGGGAAAAAGGCTTATCATAAATACAAGACCCATGAACACAAACACACCCACATCTGGAAGGCTCTGCTGTAAGCAAAACAGATCAAAAAGGTGGAAAGCCAGATCAAAGTTGAACCAAACTCTGCACCCTATGCTGGCCAAACCCTAGCATGCTGCCACAGGTGTGTGATACACCAGGAACACTTCATCTTCCATCAAGAATCAGGTAACTAGAGAGAAAGTGCTCTGGCAGGCACTGGGGAATCAGGAAAAGGTCACTCACCACAAGTGTAAAAAACCCCAAACCATGTCATCAGACCCCATCAGCATAGAATCCAGGGGTCTTCTGTCTAATTAGACATAATCTATAGAGTATTGCAAGAATTAAGCAAAGAAATTTTGCTGGAAAACTAGATTTATTTTTTTTATTTTTTTTTTTAGAAATAAGGACTGAATTAACTCTTGCTATCCTGTAGGAAGGATAACTAGACTTACTTTAGCCCTTCTGTATGACAACAGTAAGGGTGATGGTATACACAGGCCTTGGTAATTGTACTAGCCATTCCCTTGGAACAGTTCCCATGTATCTACATCCAAATATTGCCCTTTTTCTTGTGTTAAAATTATAAACTCCAAGTGTGTCACCTCTGTTCTGTTTGTACAGCTCACAGAATAATGCAGTCCTGATCTGTAATTAAAGTTCCATGGCACAACAGTGGTAAAAACAGAAACAACAGCAATTTCATTTTCTGAAGTCAATTATTCATCACTCTTTTAGGCTTCTAGGAGAGGAATTCCTCCATCTAGGACTGGCTCCTGGTAAACTGTCCCCAGCACCCTCCCTGGGTGGAGAAACTCACTCCTCAGGGGTCAAATTTTCAGTGTTCCTGCAGCATACAGCTGCAAGGACAGCAATGGCAAGAAAAATGAGGGGTATTTCCTTAACTACTTATAGAATCATAGAATACTTAGGGTGGGAAAGGACCTTAAGATCATCTAGTTCCAACCCCCCTGCCATGAGCAGAGACACCACACACTAAACTATGTCGCCCAAGGCACTGTCCAACCTGACCTTGAACACTGCCAGGGTTGGAGCATAACTTACGGAAGGGATCTAAAAACCAAAAGATTCTGAATGGAACTTTAATTAATAAGGAATGAACAGTGCAAAACCTGGGTAGATGAGGTGCCAATTAGAGCTCTCTCAAGGGTTTTCAGCTTGACACAAATATAAAGCATGGTAGTAACCACATCAGAAGTCCCAGGTGCCAACTCTAACATGCAAAGGGAACCCCAGTTAAAAGAAGAGCAGACAACTATCAGTGTTGGATGCAAAGTCTCTCAGGCAGCCTCCCAGGCACAAATACCACAGGTCAGTTCTACCACCCTTAAAAGATCTGTTGAGTGTAATGTAATGAAGCTCCCTCCTCTAGAAGAAAGGTAATGAGTGTTTCTCCATGGCACAGCAAGTCACTGCAGGAGGAAGGTATGTGAAGACCTACTTAGCTGCCAGGAAATCAAGTTATAAATAAGGTGTTGTCCCAACAATTCCTTCTGCTTTAGGCAGAAAGAGTCAACTGCTAAGCAATAAGGCATCTCCAGGAAGACTGGGACCCAGTCAGGTCTATTTGCTGGCCAGCAGAGAAACACATGGTCCTTCAGCCCTGGAAAGTATCCGATACCAATTTTGCATAGGCGTATTTAAAAGAGTATCACACAAGCTTATATGAAAAATACCAGATCTTAAAGATTAAGCATTTAACAGCTGTCTTCACCACCATCTACCCTTCTTCAGGAAGAGCTCTGGTGCTAGAAACATACCCTCCATTGAGCGTAGGTGTCAAACCAAACAGCGTGCAGAGCCCAACAGACATGAGCAGAGAGCTGAGCACTGTCACGACCGCTGCCAGCGCCAGTCCCCACTTTGATTTCACCATGTCAATTTTCCCTGAAAAAAAGGAATGCAAAGTCTTGGTTACCAAGTAGAAGAAGGTATCTTACGAACACAAGAAAGGATCCTCATCCTGACTTATTTCAGCAGATAGCTCAATACCCTGCAACCCAGAAGTAATGGTAGTTCAGCCTCAATGTCTGAAATGCAGCTCCCAGATCCTCCCAGTACATAAGAAGTACTGTAACCAGGGAAGGACAGAGAATAATGCATGGCTTGCAGCTCGAACTACCTCCAGTACAGCACTGCTGAGGCATAAAAAGGGATCTAACCACTAAATGTGGCTTGTTAAGGTCTAAAACCATCACCTCAGAACATGTATTTGATCTGTCTGACAATGAATGAGTCCCTCTAAACTGGAAAAATGTCATTACTATGGGATTTAAAGCTGCCTAAAACAGAAAGCACCTCAGAAGATATCACAAGGAATAACACCACACTGTCTAAGAGGGACAAATTAGCAGAAGTCAGATAAACAGGACTATCAATTCTGTCCATGACAGTGCAGGGTACAATTTCAACTCCACCTTCCCTGCTGAAACACAGGACAGCACTGCAGGGCACAGACTGGAGTCTCTCTTATCTGCAGCCAGGGAAAGGGCACTGCACCACTGATGCCACACATAAATTCAGCTGGCAGGTGTGTAGGTGGCTCATTAGCTCACCCTCCCTTCAGATCTCTCCACCCCACAAACCTACGTGTGGAGAAGTAGATGTAAGCGAAGAGTATAATGTAGGTGGTGACGAGAGGTATCAGCTCAGCAATGCCAATCTCTTCCTTGAAGTGGACATGAACAATGTTCTCCTCTCGCAGCGTGCAGTTAGGGCTGGGATGCAGCAGCTTGAGGCGAGAGCGGAGGCTGCTGAGGAACCTGAGATGGAAAGCAAGCAGGAGGATGTCAATTACACTGTACCCAACAACCAGCACACCATTCCATGGAGAAGCTCAGTGGATACAGATCAAGTAGGAAGAAGCTCCACAGATTCACAGGCTTACAAAGCATGGTTCTCTCTAGGCCTGACTCCTAAAGTCTGTTCCTCTGAGGCACAAACTACATGTGCCACATCTGTACTGTGGCAACCTCACAGACCTTGGTTTCTATGAAACAGGTAGCTGTGAAGACTCAGCTGAATGCTGGGAACATCAGCAAAGGTACCACCAGCAGAGATAAAGATGTCATTGTCGCACTCAGCTCTTGCCAGGGCACCTCTGGAATACTGTGTTCAGGTTTGGTCCCCACTATACAAAAAAGATGTGGACAGGTCTCAGAGAAGACCTTATCACCATGTCCCCGTATTTGAAGGGTTGACACAAAGAACATGGAGACTCCCTTTTTACAGGGAGTCCCACGGAAAATTCAAGGGGTGATGGGTACAAGTTACTCCTTGGGGAGATTCCACTGGACACAAGAGGAAAATTTTTCACAGCGAGAACAATCAGCCATTGTAATAATCTCCCTAGGGAAGTGGTGACTCCCCAGTGTTGGACACTGTTAAGACTGGGCTGGACAGGGTGCTGGGCCATGTCGTGCAAGTCATGCCTTGCCTAGAAGGGTTGGACCAGGTGATCCTTGAGGTCCCTTCCAACCTAGGATTCTAGGATTCAATGAAAACTGTTCAAAGCAAAGGCTCGTCATCCAAAATACTGGCCTTGGAGAACAGAACACACTGTAGTCTCTAACATCCCCTGAATTTCATGTAATTATGGCTGATGAAAGGTGCTACATGACACTCCTTGAGGCTGCAGGGTTCTTGCATGAGTGGCAGAAGAGTAAGTTTCAACTACTGCACTGTCAATTCAATTCTAGGCATCCCTTGGGGAAGTCTGTGCAGCACTGAGCAGAGCGTTTAGTCCTCGGATGCACTCAATCCAAGCCAGTTTTGCCAACGTTGCCAAAAGGGTTTCACAGGTGATACCAGTCCAATTAGCACTTACTGGAAAGCAAACGACTTGTACCAGGAACTGCATCAAAACAGACCTACTGGGCCTTGGCTGCCTCAGCGACAGTTCTGTGTGCAGATGAAGCCATCATGGGAGGAACTTCCGCTGGCACCTTTGGGCACTATATAGACTTTTTTTAAAGAGATACTGACAACAGATAGTATTTAATTTCCCTTTTTTTTCCCTACAACACAGCAAGTTTTCTGCCAAAACCAGCACCCTGGTTTTCTGCAGCATGTTCAGAAGATCCTAAAACACTCTAACCCACAAAAAAACAGAGATTAAAGAAAAACATATCAATAAACAGAGCAGAACAAAGAGCAAATTAGCCAAGAATTGAACAAGGGATCCCTAACTCTGAAATAGCACAGCCAAAGCTCCTTACCTGGAATCATATCGCTGGAGACCCAGGGTGACAGTGTACGATACCACTCGCTTCCTATTGTAGAGGTTCACCCCGCTGTACTTTCCAGGGAGTCCAAACAATAGGTCTGCAAACACATAGTATGAATGGAACATTAGGACAAGAAAAACATTGACAGGCTGAGTAGAAGGCATCCCTGCCCGTAGCAGGGGGGTTGGAAATGAATGGTCTGTAAGGTCCCTTCCAAACCAAATCATTCTGTGATTCTGTGAAAAAAAAACATAAAAAAGATGGGATACAAGAGGTGTTCACTGTGAAGAATGCTGAACTACTGTCCTGATAGGAAGCACTTCTCAGTCTGGTGAGACCTTGCCAATGCGGATAAATACCTGATGCAGGGAAGTACAGAAGACGAAGCATCTCTTCTTAGTGGTGTCCACTGACAAGACAAGAGGCAACAGGCACAAATTAAACCACAGGCAATTCCCTTTAAGTGGAAGAAAAATCTTCCTGTGGCAAAGTTGTCTGTCTTCAGCTGCTTCTTCCTGACAGGGCAGTCTGTAGCAGATAAGGTCTGCCCTCTAATCCTGACTCATAAGCTCTCAACTAGATCATCACCCATTCCTAAGCAAAACTCCATGTGTTCCCGCTGCTCACTTGCAAAAGGACAATCCTCAGCCTCCCAGCCTCTCCATTCCTGAAGAGTCGGTGTCCACCCACAGCAGTACTCCAATATTGCCTTGGAAGTATTCAAGGCTATGTTGGATATGGCTTGGGGAAATCTGGCCTAGTGAAAAGTGGCCCTGCCCGTGGCAGGGGGTTGGAACTGGATGAGCTTTAAGGTCACTTCTAACCCAAACCATTCTATGATGGTGAGCCACTCCACACCATCTCTGTGAGCAGGATGAGCTACATGCACCTCTAGTTCCTTCTGTTTGCTCCTCAAACTCTGTGTGTTACTGTAAAGGCATGCCAAGAGGGCACCCAATTTGTCCTTCAACAGCGGAAACAAGCATTTCCTTTAAGGATGCAGCCAAAGAAAACCTTGGACACTTGGTTTTGTGCATGTCAGTGTGTGATGTGAACCAGAGGTTCCAGGCAGACCTTGCATTGCAAAACGCTATTTAACATCTCTTCTGTTAATCTTGTGCACTAAAATGCAGACCTTAAAAAACAGGGATAATGATGAACACTGCCACTGTTCCACTGCCTGGAATTCCTAGGATATTGTCAAGCTCTATCTCATTTGCAAAAGAGCTCTCAGAGGGGCTCCATGCACCCCAAAGCCCCAGTGTGCACATGCTCTGTATGCTCAAAAAATAACCTTTAAAACAAACTTATCCTAGAGTTATAAAACCCTTTTCCAGACATGTCATATTATAGGCTTCCTGACATCTACAAAGTTCCTTTAAAACCAAAAGAACAGCATTTCCTCTGGCCTTATGGAACCGCTAAAGCGTATGATCCCAGCCATGGTCAGAGGATTTTTTTTAATTAAGAGAGAAAAATACTTTTATGATACTTGGTCTAAATGCAAGCAAGTATCAGTGAACACACAAGAGGGAGCAGGATGAATGTTCATTTATCTCTAACAATGAGGCAGTCTTGACAGACAATAGCATGAAGGACAAAGATAGGCTAGAGCATCCATACAGTAAGAGGAACAATAAGACTTGGACAAGTTACCTGCTATTTTTACACCTACAGAAAGGAGTCTGACTGAGACTGTGTTCCACAAATACAGAGCTGAGTTCAAATACAGATATAAAATGAGAGATGACATATATTTCATAGCTTCGTTTCAGATGCTGTGAGTAACAAAATGCCACCCCATTTGGTAATATTGGCAATCAAGATGTTGGAGATACCAGGAGCAAAACAGCAATGCAAGCTGTAAGCATTTCTCAACAGCTGCTTTGGCACTTCAGCATCTTACCTTTGAGAGTAGCTGATGTTTGTAATGTCTTTGGTTCATGCTGGTGGATGGTTTTGATGATATCTGGGTCAGCATTGAATCGCTCACGGTCGTTCTGCCAGAAGTTCCCTGGAGACAGTAACAGACAGCCGTGTTCGGGGAGCAGATTCCGTAGCTTCTTGAGGCCAGGCAGAAGATCTGTTACCTGAAGACAAACTTCCTCCAAGCTTTTGACACCAGAACTGAAACACAAACAAAAGTTAGACGCTGTTGTGTGTGTTGCAACTCTCACAAACAAAAGGCAAATCTGCCAAGGTGAACTGAATGCCCCAAGGACCCACATCACCATGTTACAGCTCTTGCTCTTCATAACCAAGCATCAAGAGCCTCAGGTCACAGATCAGGATCTCACTGTAACAGGGGTACAGACTCCAAAACCCCATTATCTGGGGCCCCCAACATGTGGACCTGTTGGAGCGAGTCCAGAGGAGGCCACAAAGATGCTCCGAGGGCTGGAGAACCTCTGCTATGGAGACAGGCTGAGAGAGCTGGGCTTGTTCAGCCTGGAGAAGAGAAAGCTCCAGGGACACCTTAGAGCAGCTTCCAGTGCCTAAAGGGGCAACAAGAAATCTGCAGAGGGGCTTTTGACAAGGGCAGGTAGGGACAGGACAAGGGGGAATGGCTTTAAACTGGCAGAGGGGAGATTTAGATGAGACCTTTAGGATGAAGTTCTTCCCTGTGAGGGTGGTGAGGCCCTGGCACAGGTTGCCCAGAGAAGCTGTGGCTGCCCCATCCCTGGCAGTGTTCAAGGCCAGGTTGGACGGGACTTGGAGCAACCTGGTCTAGTGGAAGGTGTCCCTGCCCATGGCAGGAGGTTGGAACTGGATGAGATTTAACGTCCCTTCCAAACCATTCCAGGATTCTAAGATTCTGGTATTATCAGTTCTCTGGACACTGTCGGGCCCACACAGCTTTCATGCTTCAGCCATAGTAGGTGCCACAAGTTTCACATCCACATCACTTCCAGTCTACAGAGAAGTTATCTCCCTGGAATTCTTCTTCAAAGACCTTGAACTCCTCTGCATGCTTCTTTCCACATATTCAGTGGGATATTTTACAGAAATTTTTATTAACTCTCCTCAGGTGGACTATTTAAGGTGTACAGAGGCGTCTAAAATTTAAAACAATTACATAATCCTTATCAACTAGTAATTCAAACAAGACTCAACTTAGGCTTACAATAGGACCTGACTGTGAAGGTTTGGTGACAAAACCTGTCAGAACACCACTTGGCTAGACAAGGAAGGGCTGACAGTCCAAAAGAGAACACTTCCCTCAACACAACACAGGCAGCTGTTGGTATTTGCACGGGAAGGGTGTATTTAACAGAAGTGAATTTAAGAAACGAAACCAATCTTCCCCAGCTCCAGCCATGCTGATTACAGAGAAGGTGACTCCAGAAGAGAAGTCGGGGTCCTACTGTAAAATGCCTTCTCTAGAGAAGGGGTTTTTTTCTGTAATGACTACAAAAAGCAAACATAGAAACCAGACAGTGATGATTTCAGTTACTCCTTCGTGAAAACTCCCTTCAGAATCTGTATCCTGTCACTATACGGCAAGATACTTTGAAAAGTCACAGCTGACAAAAGAAAATATTCTCGAAAATACTGTGTTTATAAGAACAAAGGATTTTTGAAAGATAGTTTCAAGGAACTGACACAGTGATGCCTCCAATAATAGCTCCAGGAAGAGTAAGACATTTACTGGTTTGTATCTCAGCTTTAGCAAACTCTGAAACGTAACAGTGATCATAGAATATTGAATGGTTTGGGTTGGAAGGGACCTTAAAGCTCATCCAGTACCAAACCCCTGTCATGGGTAGAGACACCTTCCATTAGACCAGATTGCTCCAAGCCCCGTCCAACCTGGCCTTGAACACTGCCAGGGATGGGGCAGCCACAGCTTCCCAGGGCAAACTGTGCCAGGGCCTCACCACCCTCACAGTTAAGAACGTCTTCCTCACATCTCATCTGAATCTCCCCTCTGTCAGTTTAAAGCCATTCCCCCTTGTCCTGTCCCTACCTGCCCTTGTCAAAAGCCGCCTCCAGATTTCTTGTGGGCCTCTTTAGGCACTGGAAGCTGCTCTAAGGTCTCCCTAGAGCCTTCGCCTCTCTAGGCTTCAGCCCATCTCTCTCAGCCAGTCTCCATAGGAGAGGTTCTCCAGCCCTTGGAGCATCTTCATGGCCTCCACTGGACTCACTGCAACAGCTCCAGCTCCTTCTTATGTTGGGGGCCTCAGAGCTGGTTGCAGGACTGCAGGTGATAACAGTTTATACAGCAGATAAGCCTGTGTACACTCATATTTGTGAAGCGAATGCACACAGCCAGTGTCCCTACCACTATACTGCTGTCCTGGGTTCAGCTACAGCAGTCATTTTTATTCCTTCTTAGTAGCTGGTGCAGTGCTGTGGTTTTGACTTTCAGCCTGGGAACAACACTGATAACACCGATGTTTTTAGTTGTTGCTCAGTAATGTTTACTCTGACCAAGGACTTTCTCAGTCTCATGCTCTGCCAGGGAGGAGGGGAAGCCGGGAGGAAGCAGAGACAGGACACCTGACCCAAACTGGCCAAAGGGGTATTCCATACCACAGCACGTCATGCCCAGTATATAAACTGGGGGGAGTTACCCAGAAGGCCCAGATCGCTGCTCAGGTTGGGCTGGGTATCGGTCGGCGGGTGGTGAGCAATTGTATCCTCTCCCTTTGTTATTTCCCTTATCATTATTGTTATTATTGGTAGCAGTAGTGGTTTGTATTATACCTTAGTTACTGGACTGCTCTTATCTCAACCCGTGGGAGTTACATTCTTTTGATTCTCTTCCTCATCCCTCCAGGAGCAGGGGGAAGAGAAAGGGAGGGAGTGAGTGAGCGGCTGCGTGGTTCCAAGTTACCGACTGGGCTTAAACCATGACAACTGTGGATGCAGCTTGATACCAAAGAACATGACCTTGGAGCAAACTACAAATTTCATGTTGCTTTTGACTTTTTCCAAATGATGAGTGCTCAAAGTTTCAGCAGGCTTACAGCTGATGAAAATATAATCACCTTGTGTTTCCTATCTTCTTGTCAATAATCTTCAGCTGCTGTACTTTAGTACAAAAGAATGCTTTTTTAACATTAAGAAAATCGGCTGCACTTAACTTTGATACTAACAAAAGCACCTGACCACAAGGAACTTCATAACGCCTTTTGAGATAATTTCAGAACTTATATTGAAGTTAGATGCTTCCTGAAATATAAGAGTCCATCACCAAAATGGGAGCCTTTTCCCAAGGTTTAGGTCTAAGTGCTCAAGTCTTTTTCTTCTGGTGGCCATGGAAGTTTAATTTTGCTTCTGTAATACATCAGTGTTTATCAAGGGCAGCACCAAGGAGAGATAATGACAAGACCACACACGTCCTCGGAGCAGGTTGCTTCTACCTTGGCAATTGGTAATTGGCAACTATATACCGATTACTGTCTAAAGTAACAAACGTGATAAAGAAGGAGATGAGGCAGAAACACAGGAAGAATGTCAGCACCAAGGCTTTGTGAGCTGGTGGGGAAGAGCTCCATGTTTGACACTGTAAATGGCATTTCTAAAAGATGACCACATAGAGAGCGGGTATTTAGCTTGCAAGGGCAGGTTTAAAGGAAAAAGGACAAATCATCAGATAGAGTAGTGAAGTGGCCATTCTAAAAAATGAAGCAATGAAGGATGCTGCCAATGAAGTATGAACAAGTAGTAAATCTTCCCCACCTGTGTGAGTTATGGGACAAAGAATGAAGAAAGCTTCTGGCTGAAAAGCTGGGAGATGATCAGACTCTAATCTCCCCATTTGTCACCACACTTGGCCTGTTCTTAGCACCATCACTCTCTTGAATATAGACTGACAAGTAGGGGCGCAATTCTGTCCTTAGAATTATACCCAGCCAGGAACTTCACCACAGATGAAGACTTAGAACTCAAAGGAAAATTATTAAAAAAAAAAAAAAAACAAACAAACAAACCCAGAGGCAATTTAATGTGTAGAAAATGCTTTTTGGTTTACCAAGAGAGAACATGGCAAATTACTCTGATCACACCCTTCTAGAAATGCCTGTCTTGTTGGATGGGGAAAGCACAGCAGCTCTCATCTACATGAGCCCAAATAAAGCTTTTGATGCAGCACCACACAAAAAATGCTTTAGTTTACAAGAAGACACAAAAATTAGCACAAAAATGGTGATGCAGTAAAGAACCAAGTTAACAGGAAACTGGTCATGGGGCTGTTGAAAGGTGAACCACCAGTATCAAGCAAAACAACATGGAATTTCTCAGGCAGTTCAGAGAACCAGGATTATTATGTATTTTTCTTAATAATCTTGGAAGAAGATACAAGGACATCTGCCGATAACAGAAAATAAAGAAACCCTGTTAACACAGAAAAAGAGCAAAATATCTGAAATGGATCATGTAAGGGCTGGAATAAACTTAATCCCATTTCTATTAACAATACAAAGTGCACCTGGGGAATAAAAAGAGTTTCTGCTCTAACCTTTGGCTCATTAGCTGGAAATGACAAGAGAGGGACACAGAGATGTTAATCAATCACTTTATAATGTGGAAAAGTGATGTGACTGGCCATGAAAAAGAGACCTTCAGTCTCATATTCCAGGGAAGGCTTTTCCATGGAAAATAACACACAAATGAGACTTCTCTGAGAATACCATGCACAGTTCTAACTCCCACAATCAGGAATGATATGTTAAAAACAGTGCCAAAAGGAGCAACCAGCGTGACAACCTGAATACAGAGACAACTTACTGGAGTAAACTCAGAGTCAGTGTTTAGCTTAACAAATGAGGAATTGCGACGGGGGGTATGAGTTCTCCCTGTAAATATCTGGAACAGAGGAAAGCTATTGTTGTACAAAGACTGTGTCAGGACAAAATAAAGCATGTTTAAACTGGTCTTAAATAGAGCTAAAGTGAAAAGTCAGAAGAAGTCCCTGACCATGTGAAAGTCCATAATCCTAGAATGGTTTGGCCATTTTAGGAAGGGACCTTAAAGCTCATCCAGTTCCACCCCCCTGCCACAGG